TTTTTTTTTTTTTTTTTTTTTTTTTTTTTTTTTTTTTAGGTAACACTGTCTTGTTAAAAAACAGGAGCCTGTGTTGCCCAGGCTGGAGTGCAGTGGTGCAATCATAGCTTACTGCAGCCTTGAACTCCTGGGCTGAAGTGATCCCCCGGCCTTGGTCCCTCAAAGTGTTATGGTTATTAGCACAAGCCACCGCCAGGCCTGGAGTCTTTGAAGTTAGTTATATTTCAGCTACCCAGGACAGACTTCTAACTTTGATTGCCACAGAACTCTACCAGAACTAATTGTTTCCCTTAGTTCTGATTGTGGAATCTCTTATTACCATCAGTTGTTTTTCAGAGTTACAATTTAGATATGAAACAATTTAATTTTTTATTTTTTTCGGAGACGGGTTTTGCCCTTGTTACCCAGGCTGGAGTGCAATGGCCCGATCTCGGCTCACCGCAACCTCGGCCTCCTGGGTTCAGGCAATTCTCCTGCCTCAGCCTCCTGAGTAGCTGGGATTACAGGCACACGCCACCATGCCCAGCTAATTTTTTGTATTTTTAGTAGAGACAGGGTTTCACCATGTTGACCAGGATGGTCTCGATCTCTTGACCTCGTGATCCACCCGCCTCAGCCTCCCAAAGTGCTGGGATTACAGGCTTGAGCCACCGCGCCCGGCCTGAAACAATTTTTTTTGTTTGTTTTTGTATTTTGAGACAGGGTCTCACTCTGTTGCCCAGGCTGGAGTGCAGTGGCAGGATCCAGCTCACTGCAACCTCCCCTTCCCAGGTTCAAGCTATTCTCCTGCCTCAGCCTCCTGAGTAGCTGGGACTACAGGCACCTGCCACCAGTCCCAGCTAATTTTTGTATTTTTAGTAGTGATGGGGTTTCACCATGTTGGCCAGGCTGGTCTCAAACTTCTGAGCTCAGGTGATCCACCTACCTCTGCTTCCCAAAGTGGTGGGATTACAGGCGTGAGCTACGGCACCCGGCTGTGAAACCATTTTTCTAGCCCACCTTAGAGAAGACTGTTGACACACTAGTTGGAATGGTTGCAATAGCCTCCTACCTTGCAAGACACTTCAGATTCAAAGAATTTCCTTTGTAAAAGTTGGCCAGGCACGATGGCTCATGCCTGTAATCCCAGTACTTTGGGAGGCTGAGGTGGGCAGATCACTTAAGGCCAGGAGTTTAAGACCAGCCTGGTCAACATGGTGAAACCCCATCTCTACTAAAAATACAAAAATTAGCCAGGCATAATGGTGCATATAATCCCAGGACTCGGGAGCCTGAGGCATGAGAATCACTTGAACTCAGGAGGTAAATGTTGCAGTGAGCCACAATCACACCACTGCACTCCATCCTGAGTCATAGCGCAAAACTCCTTCTCAAAAAAAAAAAAAAAGAAAGAAAATTTTAAAAAAGTAAGTACCTGTTAATGCATTTATCTTTAAATTTTGATGTGTGTAAGTGTCAATGCTTTGGGTAAAATGGAACTCAACAGTGACAGAGTTAGTGCCATATAAAACAACAGGAAAATATACTTTAAAAAATCATTTGAGGCCGGGTGTGGTGACTCATACCTGTAATCCCAGCATTTTGGGAGGCAGAGGCAGGCGGATCAGGAGTTCAAGACCAGCCTGACCAACATGGAGAAACCCCGTCTCTATTAAAAATACAAAAATCTCTACTCCAATAGTGCTTCTAGCTGTACAGTAAATAGAAAAAAAAAATACAAAAATCAGCTGGGCATGGTGGCACATGCCTGTAATCCCAGCTACTTAGGAGGCTGAGGCAGGAGAATCGCTTAAACTTGGGTGGCAGAGGTTGTGGTGAGCAGAGATCACGCCACTGCACTCCAGCCTGGGCAAGAGAGAAACTCCATTTCAGAAAAAAAATTTTGAAAAATTTGCTGAATAAACACTTGTTCACGGTGTACTTTCCCTAATTTTGTTTTTGTTTTTTGATGCAGAGTCTTGCCCTGTCACCCAGGCTGGAGTGCAGTGACGATCACAGCTTATTACAGCCTCAATCTCTCAGGCTCAAGTGATCCTCGCACCTCAGTCTCCCTTGTAGCTGGGACTTGAGGTGCATGCCCCACATCTGGCTAATTTTTGTATTTTTTTGTAGAGATGGGGTTTTGTCATGTTGCCCAGGTGAGTCTTAAAATCCTGAACTCAAGTAATCCTCCCACCTTGACCCCCCAAAGTGCTGGAATTACAGGCATGCTGGAATTACCTGGCCTTGCCCTAATTTTGATAATGGTAATACAATGCTCTGTTCTGCATTTGTGGTAGTTTGAGCGTGTGCAATCTTAGAAGCAGTGGAGGTATTTGCCTGTTCTTCTCTGTGACTTAGTCACTCAGCAGTTCTAAGCTAAGGGTGTTTTTATATACCTTTAGGTTCTCGTTTAGAGTTAATGGATGATGAAAACATATTTCTAGTGCATAAGAGAAATTCATTCTGAAACAGAAATAGAATATACACCTTCACACAGAAGGCAGAGAAGAAACTGGAGAAAGAGAAATAATGTTAGGAAACCATGGGAGACAGCACTGGGGAACCAGATAAATGCTCCTTGGCAGCTGGAGGAGTTGAGGACACTTCAGCTTGGACTTGGGATGGGAGCCCGGAGAACCCAAGTTGCTCCAGCTAGGCAGGGAAATTGCTGGGCCAGATGAAACTTGAGTGGCTAACAAGAAGTACCGGGAACCAAAGACTCTCCAGTTGGTCCTCTTTTAAATGTCTGCCTTAAATAGCTTGTACCGTTGTAAGTCTTGCATAAAGGGTAAGAAGATGAACTTTTAGAATCAAAGCTATTACTCCGGGTGCAGTTTTTGGAGTAAGGAAGTAATTAAGGTTAAATGAGGTCATTAGGGTGGGGCCCTGATCCGATAGGACTAGTGTTCTTTTTTTTTTTTTTTTTTGAGAAGGAGTTTCACTCTTGTTACCTAGGCTGGAGTGCAATTGTGTGATCTCGGCTCACCGCAACCTCCGCCTCCTGGGTTCAAGTAATTCTCCTGCCTCAGCCTCCCGAGTAGCTGGGACTACAGGTGCGTGCCACCACGCCCAGCTAATTTTTGTATTTTTAGTAGAGACGCGGTTTCACCATGTTGACCAGGATGGTCTTGATCTCTTGACCTCGTGATCCACCTGCCTCGGCCTCCCAAAGTGCTGGGACTATAGGCGTAAGCCCGCCCCAGGACTAGTGTTCTTAACAGAAGAATTAATGGAGAGCTTTCCCTTTACTCCCCCATACTGAGGAAAGATTATGTGAGGACATAGCAAGAAGGTGGCCATCTACAACACAGGAAGAGAGCTGCCACCACAGACCAACGTGACCAAAAGCTTGATCTGGGACTTCTAATCTCCAGAACTATGAGAAAGTAAAATTCTGTTATGTCACCCAGTCCATGGTATTTTAAATATGACAGCCTAAGCAGACAAATCCACCATCTATATGCAGATACATCCAAATCTCTAGTCTGTTGTACGTACCTCTCCCCTGAATTCGGCTTGTTCTTCCATTTGCCTACTTAGTGTCACCACTTGGATAGATATCTAATAGGTGTCTCAGACTTAACTCGGTAAACTCAACTTCTGATACTCCCCTCAAGCCTACTCCATAGCCATCTTACTCTTCTTTTTTGTGGAGACGTGTGGGCTTACTCTGTCGCCCAGGCTGGAGTGCAATGGCATGATCATGATTCACTGCAGCCTTGAACTTCTAGACTCAGGTGATCCTCCAACCTCAGCCTCCCAAGTAGGAGGTGAGGGCAATCTGACTGTGACATCCGTCACACTGTTGATTACCAGGGTTGATCTGGCTGATCTGGCTGGCTAGGCAGGTGTCCCCTTCCTCCCTCACCGCTCCAAGTATGTCCCTCCTGAAGCTGCGCCCTCCATCTAAGAGAATGACCGTCCCCAGTAGAGGAGGACTGGCCTTCGGTCGGGGTATATGAGTAGCTGCACTCCTAGAACTCCAAGCTCTCAAGTTCCCGGATAGCTGGTACTATAGGCATCATACTTCACTATCATTCCCTTCTCAATTAAAGATAGTGCTGTTCTTTTAGCTGCTTAGGCCAAAAACTTGTGGAGTCATCCTTGACTCTTTCACAGCCCACATTCCATCCATTGCAAATCATGCTGGCTGTATGTTTCAAATACACCCAGAACCTAATGACC